ATGAGTAATCCATGTGGATAAAGGTTTTATTAGCCTATGTTCTTCTATCTTCCACGGATTCCTAATGTAGCAAGCTCACTGTAATCTCAAGTTTATGGCAATTGTAGTAGGATTTCGTTTCAGTTATGATTTCTTCAACTACTGCCTTATAGTGATGTTATTTATTAATTGTGGGTATGAATCATTCATGATCAATATAAAGGAGTCTTGGTAAGGATTGATCTAGATTCTTCTACCCTATAGATTGAATGTTATAATATACATGATGTGATCTTAATTCTAGGGTAGACGAAGCATGAGTTAGACATGATTATTATGTCTTAGGCTAATGTCCTAGATTGATACTTTTGATGAAATATGATTGATGATCCATTCAAATAAAATTGGTTAATGGTCTATGTTCTTCTACTTTCTAGTATGCTGGTGATGTATTGTACTTGTTTGTAGAATGGTCTTGTAAATAGCTTATGCATGACTTCGTATATGATTATTTTACTTTTTTGTACCATGGTCTTGTAGTAGCTTATGCATGACTTCGTATATGATTATTTTACTTTTTTGTACCATGGTCTTGTAGTAGCTTATGCATGACTTCGTATATGATTATTTTACTTTTTTTGTACCATGGTCTTGTAGTAGCTTATGCATGACTTCGTATATGATTATTTTACTTATAGATACTTCCCTATACTTTAATTTTTGATGAAAGAGTAGTATTTATCAATGATTATCAAAGGATAAAGGATTTGTAAGAATTGCTCTTCTTCTCTACTTCTCTATAGTATTGTTGATAGAATTGGCCTTGTATGGCATTGTGTGGTATGGTACACTTATAGTGGCAGTGTTTAATTTATTGCCAATATATATATGTGATGTGAACATGTCCTTGAAGGCAATTATACTATGAATATGTGTTGGTGATGAACCATGCTATGTGAAGGCTATGCCTAGTATCTTATTCTAGATATGATCTAGTTAGTATGACTAATGTTATGAGTGTGTAAATGGTTATGTTAATTTTATGTGTGTGTGTGTGTGTGTGTGTGTGTGTATAGCATTCTACCTATGATGAGGTCCTATAATGTTATCTGTGAAGTAAAGTTGATATAGGTACATAATGAATAGAGCTTACTGTAAAGATGTTTTAATTCTTGAATAAATGTATCTTATGCTAAGTTATCTATTCTATGATTTTTATGTGATGTATCATTCACTAGGATGAATTGATAGGTGTACTAGTATGGGCAAAGGTATGAGACCTTATTTATGCATTGCACATGTGTACTTTGTTGATAGAATAGTTCCTAGTTTGGTCTTCTAAGTACTTGCATAGGATTGTATGAACATGTTATGAATATGACTTATATGCTATGATGTTAGGTATATAATATGATGAAGTATGAATATGCATAGTGTCCTGATGTGTTTATATGAATGGATTGCTCATTTAGTTATAAGCATAGACTTTTGCATTAATATATGAACATGTGTGATATTTATATGTTATGTGAAAGGTTTGTTCACATATAAGTATTCACACACGCATGTATTATAATTTAGTCAATGGAGGGGCCTTGAAAGGTGTGCTCAAGTGTACCCTAAACTAGATAGGTGCTTACACATTCTATGTCCATGTGAAAGGGTTTCTCACATAATTTAGGTTGACGAACTCTCATCTAGGACCTATGAGCAAATCCTATGAGGAGATGACTCTCCTAAACCTAATTTTATAAGATAAATCTAATAATGGCTTTTTATTAATAGGGAACTTAACTTAGCACCGATGAACTTTAAAATGAGGGATGTCCCTTCCATTGTAGGAAGATAGGTCATCATAATCCTCATAAGGTGGATAACTATAGTTCCTCAATAGGCATAAAGAGGTTTCCATAAATAAATAACTATAATGCCCCATTTGTCATAAAGAGGGTTTTCACATGTACCTCCAAGTACCATAACTATTCTTGCCACATAGGATCTAGCAAGTGATTTCACTAGTATTCTAGCATGTCTAAATGTTCTACCTTGGATAAGTAAAAACACCTTCCATTGGTGTAATGCTCTACAACACCAAATTCCAGGTAGCACCCATGGTCTTAGTGTCGGTTAAGGCTATAGTTTCCCTAAAGTAAAATGTTCTATGAGAGTAAAGCAAGGACCCTAACTAGGATAACCTAAGGGTAGTTGCTTAGTGTAGGTGGGTGTATGGGACTTCACCTATGTATATCACAAGTGGCTCTTGAGGGAAGTCATAGGAAGGTGTTCTAATGCATGTCTCTATGTATATGTTCCTTAAGCATGACTTTGTAGTATTTGCCTACTTGTTGTAATGAAACGCATGGTATGAGCCTATGTGAAGTGGTCTTGGTGTATATGTATAATGTTGGTGTTAATGACTACATCATGAAGGTTTGTTGACATGAATGAAGTTATCTTCACTTACTATGTTGATGTAAGATTTGGATGTTAAGGCTTGTAGTCTCATGATAGGTTTACTAAGTATGTGTGAGGTTATGGGATTCACATGTACATGTCAATAGTAGACTTAGATTGCGATTGTGAGTAAGGTCTCATAAGTTTCTATTTGAAGTGATATTAGTATGTGTGCAAAGTGAATAGAGTTCATTGTAATGTCCCTATAGTCTTGACCTAAATGTGTCTAGGTTGTATGTATGGTTTACTTATGGGCTTAAGGTGATTAATTGCACCAAGTGTCACTTGAGGGTTACTTGGGAGGCTAATGGATTAAAGGAAAGAAGTTCATTGTTAAGGGAAAAATGCTCAGTGTAAAAGCATGAAGAGCTTACTGTAAAATGATTCAAAAAGTATCTTAAATGCAATGTATGATTTTATATTATGTTTGACCATGAAATATGCCAACATGAATTATGTAAATGATATAATAATTATTGTACAAAGGTCTTATGAAGATTTTCTGACAAGGCACGAAACATGATTTCAAGTAAAATGTCCCTTTTAAATGCATATTTTTGCATGGTTGTCATACTTAGTGCATTCTTGTACTAACTCCATTCTTCTCTACTTTTTACACAAAATGTAGGTTATGGTTGCTTGAAAGGATGTTTCTATGATTGAGGAGCTTGATATTTGATTTCCAAGCTCAAGGAAAAGAATCCTTAAGTCCAAGGATGTCCTAATGTCTAGCTTATTGTAAATTCAATTTATTGGTGTACTTTTGCATCATGTTATAATGGGTTGTGTTCCTAAAGTACTCTTATGATGTCGAGTCTATGATGGAAAAAAGAGATTAGAGTCTAAATATGTACTTACGATATTTTTTATATATGAAGTGAAGTTTCTAGCGTATGACGTGCCATGAAAAGTTTTAAATTTTCCGCTAATTTACCTATGACAATGAGATGAATGATAACTATAGGCCTGTATAAGACCTCGGAGAGGTCAAGTACGCCATGTTACTTCTGGGGGTTCTCTCCGGTAGTGACAACAATTGTGAATTTTTTTTTAAAAAAATGATGAAAATCTTTTTTATACTTATTTACATCACTTAATATGAAGAACATTTTCGAACAATAGTTGTAGTTTATGCGACATAAGTGAAATCAACATATGAAGGAACAATGTTAATAGCTAGCACATTGGAACCATGAGGTATGTTTAATATTTTATTAAAATAAACAATGCAGACTTACAAATATTTTGTACACTTTACATTTGTAACGACCTGTTTTCTTCGTTATAAAAAAGCAACTGGAGAAAATTTGAGTCCGGAAAACTTTTTCGTAATATTTGAATTTTCTCAATCAAATTCAAATTTGGATAATATCGGAGTAATTACGATGTAGGGAAATCTAGTAAAAATAGAATGAGTTAATTATTATTTTGATTTTATGAGTATTTATATGAATCATTGAGAAATTTGTACGGCTTAATGGAATTGAATTGGGGCGAAAAGAACTCTCAGAATGAATCTTAGTGTAAAGGGTATTTTTCAAGTGTCGTTTGTTAGAGGTGTGTTGTGAAATTGGGTTTGTGGAATTCTTGAAATATCTCACTGGTTCAGTCATATCGCACAACTATAAAGAACTTGAAAGGAGTTAAAAATACAGAAATACTAATTTTTAGAAAGTGTAAGGAAATCTGGAAATATGTAAGTAAGTTGAACGTGAATTTTTTTTCCACATTAAAAGGCCATAATTCCTAGATCAGAAGGATTTAGGTGTAGTTCTAGGTATGGTTGAAAATCCCTAGGAATGATCTTTCCAACGCCACTGAATTTGTGCGATTCCGAGTTTGAATGAGAGAGTTGCGCTCTTTGGAAGTTGGGCTGTTGAAGTTAAGAAAATGTCTAAAACTGGATTTTTAAGGGGTAGTTTTCTATTTTTCTAACCATATTAATTTATTTCATTTTTAGTAATTATGTTAGGGGCCTAATGTGACGTCCCGCCATCCAACCAGGGTGAACGCCACCCTACCAGGGTGCCACCAGTAGGCGCTACAGGCGCAAGGGGGCAGACTGCCCATGCAGGCCAGCAGCCAAAGGGGCCAGCAGAAGTTGAAGAGACAGCCGTTACAACAGTTTCAGCTGTTACGACAGTTACAGCCGTTACAGCTGTTACAAAGCATAGTGGGGCGGCAGTTTCAGGAGTTTCATGCCTTTGAGAGGCTTGTGTAGATCATGGGACAGACTAGGAGCATCTAGGAGTCCTTTTTGGAAGACTTAGAAGCTTGTCTTGTAGGCATAGTCTTAGGAACTTGTATAGTGTAGCATTTACTATCTCTTAGGCATTAAAGTAGTATAAATAGTAGTTCATTTTACTTGTATAGCATCCAATCATTTTTCAAGTAATAGAAGTTCCTTCTTCCAAAATTCTGTCTACTTCTTATTTTCTTAGCGGTCTGAGTTTTAGGCTTACTTGAGTTTGCAAGAATCATGAGTAAACCGTCAAGTGCCGCACGGAGTATTGTCCGAATCAAAAAGTCTATGACAATTGGTATCAGAGCAGGTTCATCGTAAGAGAATGACGAACGAAGGAGACGGAAGCGGCGCTAGCAACACCCCCAACGTTCAGGTGGGAAAGAAGAACAAGAAAGGGAAGAAGCAGCAGCAGAAGGGGAATGAACCCAATCTGCCTGTTCTGCCCGATCTTCCACCCACTAATCCTCCACCAACTGGACTTCCACCAGGCAGTCTTCCACCAGACGGTCAGCCATCAGGCAGTCTGCCACCAGGCGGACAACCATCAGGCAGTCTGCCACCAGGCGGTCTTCCAACAGGTGAGTTACCATCAAATGTTCCTCCACCAAGTGATGGACAAACATCTTTCCAGCATAATATTGTTGATGAAAGTGACGGGGACGACAGCGAAGAAATTATCAACGTCACTGTGGGACATGAATGGCTTGCCAGCGTTGAAAGGGCAAGGCTAGCTGTTGAGATTTTAGGCCAGCGCTTTAACGGGTTGGACAGTGATGTCAAAGACCTTAAGGAGCACTCCCTTGAGGAAGTTGATGCCATTCGGAAGGAGTTGGATCTACGCAAGCGGTCTGAATTAGTGATGAAGGAAACCATTACTTCCTTGGAGTTCAGGTTCTTGGACGCCCTTACGACGATCCAGACGCTGAAGAACAAGGTTGAGGCCCTCGAAGAAGAGAGGGAGGTTGGAGCAACAACATCACTTGGCCAGGAAAGGGAGTCCAGAGTCGAGGTTCCCAAGCCACCAACATTCAAGGGTGTCCATGACGCCCTAGAGGTAGGAAATTTCTTATGGCACTTGGAAAATTATTTCAGGTGTAATCGGGTCAGGATCGATGCAAACAAGATCAACACTGCCATGTTGTATCTTTCCGACGTAGCCATGTTATGGTGGAAACGCAAAGATGCCGAGATTAAGAGGGGCACACGCACCATCGACACATGGGAACAATTCCTTGAGGAATTCAAGAAAGCTTTCTTCCCCAACAATGTTGTTTATGAGATGAAGCACAAACTCTGGGAGTTGAAGCAGACGCGAAGCATTAGGGCATATGTGAAAGAGTTCACATTTTTGACCCTCCAAATTCCCCAACTAACGGAAGAGGACATGCTGTTCACCTTCATGGACGGGCTAAAGAATTGGGCGAGGACCGAGTTAGAGCGGCGTCAAGTAAAAACCATTGATGAGGCCATCACTCAAGCCGAAACCTTGACAGATTTCAAACATGATCGTTTGGACAAGGCGAAGGGCAAGGAGGCAAGGGGCAGTCAAGCTAAAGGCGGGGGAGACCGTGGCCGAGGCAGAGAACAGTCGACACAACCCAAGCAGCGAGACACGCCCAAGCCCGATGGTAGACGGTTTGAGCGCCAGAAATACTCAGAGAAGCGGACGCAGTCCAGCAGAGGAGACGGGTGCTACATATGCGACGAACCTCACGGTTATGCCAGGTGCCCAGAGATGAAGAGCCTTAGTGCCATCGTTCGTGAGCGGAAGGAAAAGGAGGCACAAGACAAGGCGAAATCGGCAGACACCACTCAGTTGGGAATGGTTGGAATCTGTGGAGCCATAGACAAACAGGCCGACAACCTGAGGGATTTCAGTACACAATATGTGGATATCTCCATCAATGGGCAACCTGTTCGGGCCATGGTAGATTCCGGGGCTGAAGCTAACATCATGACCAAGACGGCGGCAGAAAAATTGGGACTGAAAATTGTTCCAAGCAATAATTGCCTCAAGACGATCAACGCCCCACCAACTCCCGTGTGTGGAATTGCTCATGGGGTCAGCATCACTTTAGGACGGTGGAGAGATAAGACAAACTTTACCGTAGCTCCCTTGGACATATCCGATGTTATTCTTGGGCAGGAATTCTTTCAACATTGTCACACGATGATTGATCCCTACCTTCAACAACTCATGGTGATGGAGGGGGAAGGGTCTTTTATGGTGCCACTTGTTAGGGTGCCAAAGAAAGACGGATATTCCCAACTGTCGACCATGCAGATTGTGAAGGGCCTGAAGAAAGGAGCACCAACCTTCTTAGCCACCATCGCAAGTTCGGGTGAAGACCATGGTGCTATGCAGCCACTGCCTCCTATCATAGAGTCTGTTTTGCAGGAAAACAGTGATGTGATACCGAAGGAGCTGCCGAAGACACTACCTCCAAGGCGCGAGGTAGAACACATGATCGAGTTGGAGGCGGGAGCCAAGCCACCTGCGCTTGCACCTTATCGCATGGCTCCGCTTGAGTTAGAAGAACAGAGGAGGCAGTTGAAGGAACTCCTCGAAGCAGGTCATATTCGTCCATCCAAGGCACCCTATGGAGCACCAGTGCTGTTTCAGAAGAAGAAAGACGGGTCGATGCGTCTATGCATTGACTACAGGGCACTCAACAAGATCACAATTCGGAACAAGTACCCAATCCCGCTGATCGCAGATTTGTTTGATCGTCTTGGAGAGGCCAAGTACTTCACCAAAATGGATCTCCGTAAAGGCTACTATCAAGTGCGCATTGCATAGGGGGATGAGCCAAAGACAGCATGTGTGAACAGTAGCACTTTGCAGGATCATGTAAAGAACTTGAAGAAGGTCTTCAAAGTCTTGCGGGAGAATCAGCTTTATGTTAAGCGGGAGAAGTGCAAGTTCGCCCAACCAAAGATACATTTCTTGGGCCATGTGATCAGCCAAGGTGAGCTTCGTATGGACGAGGCAAAGGTAAAGGCGATCCAAGATTGGGAAGCGCCTACGAAAATGACTGAGCTACGTCTTTTCTTGGACTTGCTAATTATTATCGCAGGTTCATTAGCGGGTACTCTGCTATTGCTGCCCCACTGACCGAGCTGCTGTAGAAGAACAGGCCTTGGCTGTGGAGCGAGGAGTGCGAGGAAGCGTTTGAAGGTCTTAAGGCTGTGGTTACTGAAGAATCAGTCTTGATGCTGCCTGACTTCACCAAGACCTTTGAGATCCATACGGATGCTTCTAATTTTGCCATTGGGGGAGTCTTGATGCAGGAGAAGCACCCCATAGCTTTTGAAAGCTGGAAGCTGAATGAAGCGGAACGACGGTAAACTGTGCAGGATAAGGAGATGACGGCCATTGTGCATTGTCTACGCACATGGAGGCACTATCTACTAGGCTCCAAATTTGTAGTGAAAACTGACAACGTTGCCACTAGCTATTTTCAGTCGCAGAAGGAGATCACACCAAAGCAGGCTCGTTGGCAGGATTTCTTAGCGGAATTTGACTACAACGTGGAGTACAAACCAGGAAAGGGCAATGTTGTAGCCGATGCATTGAGCAGAAAGACTGAATTAGCGGCCATCTCCTCAGTCTGTAGTGAATTCCAAGGTGTAATCAAAGATGGTATGCAACGCGATCCGGAAGCCAAGAAGATTATGCAGTTGGCTGCTCAAGGCCAAACCAAACGGTTTTGGGTAGAAGACGGATTCTTGCTTACCACTGGCCGGAGGATTTATGTACCAAAGTTCGGATTCATCAGGCGGCGAATTATCAAGGAAAGCCACGACACTCCGTGGGCTGGGCATCCGGGACAGAAGAGAACGAGGGCTTTAGTGGAGGCCTTCTATTTATGGCCACGTATGCGGGAAGAGATCGAGCAGTATGTGCAGACTTGTCTTGTTTGCCAGCAAGACAATGTACAGCAAAGGCAACCAGGAGGGATGTTGGAGCCATTACCCATAGTTGATCGTCCATGGGAGAGTATATCTATGGATTTCATCACTTCTTTGCCGAAGTCAAACGGGTTTGGCACTATTATGGTCGTAGTGAATAGATTTTCCAAATATGCTACATTCATGCCTGCCATAGCCGGTTGTACTGCTAAGGAAGCTGCACAATTGTTCTTTAAAAATGTTGTGAAGTATTGGGGGCTACCGAGGTTCATCATTAGCGATCGGGATCCTCGTTTCACAGGGAACTTTTGGAGTGAACTCTTTGAAATTCTTGGTTCAAAACTTCACTTCTCCACCCGTTTCCACCCCCAAACTGATGGCCAAACTGAACGCGTCAACGCCTTGTTGGAATGCTATCTTAGGCACTATGTTAGTGCACATCAGAAAGATTGGGCTAAGCTCCTAGACATGGCGCAATTTTCTTACAATTTGCAGAGGAGTGAATCTACAGGGCGCACACCGTTCGAGTTAGCAACAGGCCAGCAACCCCAAACTCCGCATTCACTGCCAACCATGTTTGAGGGGAAGAGTTTGGGCGCTTACAACCTTGTCAAGGGTTGGGAAGAGCAACTCGACCTTGCCAAATCTTATTTGAGCAAGGCGGCAAGGAGGATGAAGAAGTTCGCCGACCGCAAGCGTCGTCCCACCAACTACAAAGAAGGTGATATGGTTTTGGTAAAGTTTAATCCGAAGTAGTTTAAGGCACTTAGAGGCATGCATCACAACTTGGTGCGGAAATATGAGGGTCCGTTCAAAATTGTTGCCAAGGTGGGTAAAATTTCATACAGGTTGGAGTTACCTCCACACTTCAAGATCCACTCGGTCTTTCATGCAAGCGTCCTTAAACCTTATCAATTGGATAAGGACGATCCCAGACGGAACAAATCACAACGGGCCCCTATCACCATTACTGCCTAGCATGATCGTGAAATTGAAACTATCATAGATTACCAAGCCAAGCAGAAACGAGGCCAGCAGGCCAGTGCCATGTTTTTCGTACATTGGAAGGGACAAACTCCTGAAGAAGACACTTGGGAGAAGTACGAAGACTTGTGCCAGTTCAAAGACAAAATTCAGGAGTTCTTGCAGCAATGCGTCGCGATCGTCGCATCATGGAGTGGGGGAGATTGTGACGTCCCGCCATCCAGCCAGGCTGAACGCCACCCAACCAGGCTACCAGCAGTAGGCGCAGCAGGCGCAAGGATGCAGACTGCCCATGTAGGCCAACAGCCAAGGGGGCCAGCAGAAGTTGAAGAGACAGCCATTACAACAGTTTCAGCTGTTACGGCAGTTACAGCCGTTACAGCTGTTACAAAGCATAGTGGGGCAGCAATTTCAGGAGTTTCAGGCCTTTGAGAGGCTTGTGCAGATCATGGGACAGACTAGGAGCATCTAGGAGTCCTTTTTGGAAGACTTAGAAGCTTGTCTTGTAGGCATAGTCTTAGGAACTTGTATAGTGTAGCATTTACTATCTCTTAGGCATTAGAGTAGTATAAATAGTAGTTCATTTTACTTGTAAAGCATCCAATTATTTTTCAAGTAATAGAAGTTCCTTCTTCCAAAATTCTTTCTACTTCTTATTTTCTTAGCGATCCGAGTTTTAGGCTTACTTGAGTTTGCAAGAATCGTGAGTAAACCGTCAAGTGCCGCACGGAGTATTTTCTGAACAAAAAGTCCGTGACACTAAGCTGAATTAGATCAGTTTATGCTTCTAATAAAAGAGTTATTGTTTAGAGAGATGAGGAGAAAAGAGAAGAGCGTTCAAGATTCGCCAAGATTGTCGAAGTAACTTGTGGATTTTGTGTGTGGTGGGGGGGGGGTGATCCCTAAAAAGTTATGTGAGTCTATCATAGTGTTGGGTTCATTAACCCAACTGTCAAGAATGTTTGATTCATTGTGATTTCATCACAAAAAGATTGGATTTTGAATGTTCTTTAATGTTGTTCTTGAATTGCATTCGTTCTTTAACATGAGTTGGAGTTTTAGAATTTCTAGAGGTAGAAAGTGTTATTTCTTGAGTTCATTGGGTTAGATTCTTGTGTATATTATGTGGGTACATGAAATATAAGTTAATTTTAGCAAAGAAATCAAATTGGAATAATTTAAATCTAGGGAGGATCAGGCACGATGCACCCTATCTGCGCAAGAGACTCTCGAACGGCATGCCTTCAATGCACCCAAATGAAACCTTTGAAATTTGGGGTAGGCGTAGTGCACCCTAGACACACCCGAATCGGTATTTTTCAAATAGTTTTCATAAATCGGTTCATTTAAGCTTTTTTAAAGTGTTTCAACACTTCCTAATGATTCTAACTACTCTAATTAACTTTTAAACATGTAGAAATCATCTAGAAACATGAAATTACAACCTTGACCATAACTTCGAATTCAAGAAAAGTTAATAAGAGTCAAGGCTAGAAAAATCTTAGATTTTTTTCATGAAGTCTTTTACAAATGCCTTTAACTTTGTTTTAAGACTTAAATATCAAGTTGAGTAAAAAGTAAAGATAAGTAAAAGAAGTTCATTTCAAGTTCCATAAGACGTTCACAAATGTTTTAACTTCGTTTTAAGATTTAAAGTTGAGTTTAGTTCAGAGTAAACTGAAACCTTTTCTTCAAAGAGGTATATAGGGACTAAGCATTCCCAAAGAAGTATAGAATGTTTTAACATTTAAATAAGGATGGAAAATGAGATTTACAAATAGCCTTCGGGCTAGTCTTCAGAAAAGAGTAATAGCTTTCTAAATAAAGGAAACAGGGAAAGTCAGATTTCCAACATAGCCTTTGAGCTAAGTTTTGAGCACTAATCTCAAACCACAGAAGTAAGTGTGTTTTAAAAACGTAAGAGCTAATGTAATGATATTTTTGGGAGTAATATTTAGCACCTATATGGGGTAGAGTTCAGATAACTCCCATCCCCCATTAACCATGTAGCCACTATTGGTAAAAAAAAGGAGTCACACTTTTTAGATGATTCCTTTAGTGTTTTTTAGCATAGACTAGTGGATCCACTTAGCAGTTTAGGTTTTATACCAATAGCAAGGTATAAAATGGCCCTAGCAACATGAGGCAAAATGTTGTATCATTACTATGGCTCTTAAGTGATGATTGTCAGTTAGAGAAATTCCCATAGAAGTTAAATGTATTTTTGTACATACATCTCAGAGTTATATTGTATCTATGCATACATACAGAATTGATACCATGTTTTAAACTTTTTTCTTTATATTGCACTTATATTACATTGCTTCATACTGAAATGAGTTTAGTCGTATACAGTTGAGTTGATTTAGGTAAGTTTTTTAGATTCTCCTTTCAATTCTATGTTAGTAATGTATATCATTCCAACTCCATACTCGTACATTCAATGTACTAATGTCAGTTGGCCTGCATCATATCATTATGTAGATGTAGGTAACGAAGATCGGCATCCATTGCACCATTGATTCAGTTGAGCACTCCAGAGTCAATGGTGATCCTCCTTGCATTTTAGAGGACTCCCTTTATTTGTTTTCTAATTTAGTCATTAGGATGTTGTGGGTTTTTTCCCAACATCCATCTCAGTTTTAGAGGCTTCATAGATAGACAATCAGATGTTAGTCCTTTTAGTTATTCAGTATTATTTATTAGAGTTAAGACCTGGGTTGCCAGTTTTGGCAAAGTTTGAATTTTTCGGTTTTAAAAACACTCAGTATTTACATTTTCTTCAATTGAGTTAACTTTATGATTATTGTCTTCTGCTGAGTTAAGTAAGTCAGTCGAGGGTATGCTCGAGGCTAGTAATAGTCTTCATCGAGTGTCGACCACGCCTAGGGTGTAGCCTCAAGGCGTGACAGGTTCATGCAAGCTGCGTTGAAGGGGGGGTTTGCCGCCCAAGCGTGGCCACTGTAGCAGGATTGATGACACTGTAGCAGGAGCGACGGGACTTGAAGTAGTAAAAAAACTCCTAAAGGACATTATTTGGCACTTTCAAGTTTTAAGAGCTAATGAATGAACCCCGGGTGACTCTTAGAAGTTTTCCACCATTCATGAGGCTATAGGTAAGATTTTCACCCCTAAATCCATTTTTTTATCCGTAAAACGTAATAGAACAGGTAATTATCAATTGGGGAGGGTTTTGATATAGATCTCATGGTGGAAACAACCTTATTTTGGATACTTGGGATCAGGAGTTTAATCTAGGATTCATAGAATTGTTAGTTATTCGAGAATGAGTGATTTTTTTTTATTCTCATATTATAATAATTGTTTTTAGACCAAAAACAAGCAGAAAGAATTCAAAAAAAAAGGATCAAGTTTTTTAGGGTTTCAAGCTTGTTTTAAGGTAGGTGATGGTTGTGGTTCTATGATTCTGTGGTGTATGTTTGTTCTTACTT